TGATGGCCCAATTTCTGCACCGCAAATTAAATACTGTTTCTTTGGAGCCCCACTCAAGCACGGGTCCGGATCACCCATTATGATCCAACTACTTTGTTCCAACCTATAAACTATATAAACTAAAAGACTGCGGCTATTTGCAATACTAATTCCACTTATGCAATATCAAATTAAAGAAAGATTTTAAAAGATTTCATTTTATTAAGATGAAATGACAAATATACTATACATTAAATTGGCTTTTGTTTGCTCTTGCAAGACCAAATAACAAATAATTAAAAAAAAACAAAGAAAATATGGAATAAGTGCCATAAATTCGACATTAAGGTGTCGAATATATGGCCATAAATTCGACACCTTAATGTCGAAATTTAGTATATTTAGACTAATTTGCAAACAGTCAAATTTCGACACTAGTGTCGATTTTGTACTCCAAAATCGACATCTCAATGTCGATGTTTACTTATAAAATTCGACTTGTACATGTTGACCGCGTCTGCGCCGGATTTTTTTTGGAAAAACGATATTCTAGATAAACAACACATAAATGCATACTTTCTTGGGTTTTTCCACCGTAGAATCTTCTATTTTGATGTCTTCTGACTCCATACTTACCATCTTTGTAAAATTTGTTGAGTTTTGATGATTTTGAATGTTTAGGTTTAGTGGGTTTACGGAAGTGGATGGAGAAAGGTTTTGGAGAAGATGAGAGTTGGTCTGATTTTGTGATAGGGTTTTTCTGTATTTTGAGTTTTTGGTATTGCACATTTACGATTTTCTATTTGTTTTAACAAGGGTATTATAGTATTTACACATTAAAAATTTTAATTTGGTCTTACACAAGTGGAATTAGTCTTGCATATAGTCGCAGCCTAAACTAAATTCATTTTCCGGGAAATTATGGGGTAAACAACATAAAATCCCCATGTGTTAAGGAAAACATGCGCCAATGTTTTTATTCTTGCGTAAAACCCCCTTGTGTTTCATTTTACTTTGCACGAAATCCCCTTTTCCGTTAAAAGTTAACGTCGTAAACAACAGAGGGGGTTTTATGCAAGTTTTTTGTAACATAGAGGGATTTGGTGCATGATTTTGCAAAACAAGAAGGTATCTCGTTGAATATTATAGTGCATCAGAAACTGCATTTTTGCACAAAACGAGTACAAACTAGAAAACATTTCACGGAACATAGAAGATCCATTGAATTTGACTCCATAAGTGTCATAAGTAGCTAGATTAGTAGTAAAATTTAACTCTCTCTCTCTCTCTCTCTCTCTCTCTCTCTCTCTCTCTCTCTCTCTCTCTCTATATATATATATATATATACAGTAGAACTTCGATAAATTAATACCCGATAAATTAATAACCTCGCTTAAATAATAAATTTTTCCGGTCCCGACTCGGGGACAACGTGCTAAATTAATAATTCGCTAAATTTATAAGATAATACACATTCGAAAATTTTAAGAAGCCCCATATAATATATAAATTAATAATGCATAAAAATAATTCTTAAATTACATGGTACAATACATATTTTGTAGATCTATGAAAGTTTAATAATATATAATTTAATTGTCCCTTGTTTCTTGTTGAATTTCACATTACCATCAATCTCGTCCCTCACTCTTTTTAATATGGTTAGAACTTTCGGTATAGTTTTCTCATAACTCAACATAAAATCGTTCTATATCATCGCTGCTTTAAGAGCTTCCGCTCGTGAAACGGGCTCTATAGTGCATTGAACTAATGGTACAATGAATAATATACACGTAATTTAAAAAAAAACGTATTTATTGAAAATAATAATAAAAGTAATTTCATAAATTAATAAGTTATTAATTAATGTATAAATTAATAACTTATTAATTTATCGATAAGTTAATATTTCGCTAAATTAATGAAATTTTGATGATCCCAACTGTATTAATTTATAGAGGTTTAACTGTATGTATATATATATATAGATATATATATATATATATATATATATATATATATATATATATATATATATATATATATATATATATATATATATATATATATATATATATATATATATATATATACATAACTAAAACACTCTCACTCACACTCACAAACAATAAAACAATATAAAAAAATCTACAAATCAAAATCTCTATAACAAACA